TAATACGTACGTAGGTACGACGTACCACCTACCCTACCTTAACTTAACTAACGACACTACCTAAAACGAAAACGAAACGAACGAATAACTAAAACGTAAAGTACCTAACGTTACGTAGTCTCTCTCTCTCTCTCTCTCTCTCTCTCTCTCTCTCTCTCTCTCTCTCTCTCCACATTACTTCACATGAATCTCTCTCTCTCTAAATCATGCAAATCAACCCCTTTCCAAACTTTTCTATTTTCTCCCTCGTGATCAACCCTCACCCATCCCTCTTCCTAATTAGCTAAAAATCCCCACCAAAATAGGACCATGGAATCCTACAAACTTGGAAAGCCATCCACACCCATCCTAAGAAACTAGAACCATTAATTTGCCCAAGACATAAAACAAAAATCCCTTTTGAATCTCTACAAGGATATCCCTCAAAATTAATCCCAACAATTACAAAAAGAATAAAAAAGACTAACCACACCCCCTATAAAAATAAAATAAAATAAAATTCTAATTAGCCCTATTCTTAAACATCCCAGATGCGATTTGCACCACAAGATCAAGTATAAATAGGTAAAAAGTGAAGTACAAACACCTCCAGTACCCTAATTCTAGATGGAACAAGGAAACTAGACCAGAAAGGAAGCATATGAACATACTGAAATACCAAATAGCTGTTACATTCCAATATATAGACCTAGAAACCCTAAAACATTCATGGAATAAGGATATTGGGCCCACAAAAGAATACAATAGCAAATTTGAGCATAAAAAAGGGAGTAGTACAAGCCTATTCAGTAATTAAAAATAAAAAGTGACAAACAACCAACATACATGCCAGAAATTCTATGGAACAAGGTTACTGGACCTGGCAACCCAAGAACAGATACCTATAGAGAAATTCAAAACCTCAAATTTAAACTAATCACTATATGTCAAATTCACACAAAAAAAGGCAGAACCAAAAAATAATAATAATAATAATAATAACAATAGAAGAAGGACACCCACTAAATTAAAAGCTGATGGCACGAAAACTAAGTAGCCAGAAGCCCCGAACATCAAATATAGACACAATAATTCATAATATAATAAAAAAAGGAAGATAAATACTAATTTCTTTTTCAAAAGAGAAAATAAAGGAGCTCCTGCAAATGACTTACATCAGAAAGCAATGGTTCTTCATCATCACAAGTGGGCAGCTGCTTGCCAAATCTGGACCGCCGGTTGGGTTTAAGCATTCGAGGATTCGAATGTGATGAGAAAACCATGCAAGAGCTTCTTCTGTCATTGATTCTCAGTGTAATTTTCTCATTCCAAAGGTTCGAATCAGTGGATAAATGGCGAGAACAAGAAATTGAAATGGAATTCAAATACAAAACCACAAGCGCCATTGTATGAGTACGTGAGAATTCAGGGAATGAGAGGGAAAATGATTCTATTACTCCATAGAAGACGCATTTTGTTGCACAGATACATTTGTTAGTCTCTAGCCCTTAAGAATTCAGGGAGAAGCAAGGGGGAGGAAGAAGCGTATGTCCCTAGACTCTCTCTCGACGTAATTCTCTCTCACGACTTAAAACTCCTGCTATGCCCTCTCTCTATCTCTTGTCTCTCATCTGTTAAACCCTCTCTTTCCCCTGGTTCATGTGTTAAAACCCTCTCTCTCTCTCTCTCTCTCTCACTGTTAAAAATAAAAGAAAAAAGAAAATCCTCTCTCTCTCTCACTGTTAAAAATAAAAGAAAAAAAAAACCCTCTCTCTCTCTAGAATCTATTAAGCCTTTTCTGTCTTGCTCCTCTCGGAGAGAAATATCTGCAGCATACCCCTTTAATGCTTATCTAAATAAAAATCGTTTATATAAGGCGTCAAATTTATACTGTAGACATAAGGTATACCTAAAAAACCTATTGAAAAAAGTTGTTTACTCACTAGAAAATTATCTGATTGATCATCTTGATCTCGATATATATAGATATGAAAGAAAAAGTATATTTTAAATCTTAAAATTAATTCATCTTATGATACATTATCTACACCGTTCATTTTCAAGATTTTCGAGTGCTAATAGATATACTAGATTTGCACTATTTCCCTAGCTTTCAATTTTATTATAGAGATGAAAAATAGACTTTTAGGTCATGATAGAAGTTTTAATACGGAAAATACATTTTTTTATGATATTTTTATATGCATCTTACCGTAATTGTTTAAAGTTGATACCTTATACAAACCTCACCCAATAATTCTGACCACTTTTGTCACTTGTTGTTTGAGTAATGGCACAAGGCATTTTCTGGTACTAGCTACAAACTGTGTAAAGGCTGGGCTAAGGTAACTGCTGGCCCGGCCCTTGGTTTTGTTTTTTTCTTATACACGCCAGGGCAGGCCTTATGGGGCAAGGGCCAAGCCGGGCCTGGACCATTGCCACCTTTTAGTTCACGCTTCGTGCTTCGGTATCAATTCATGACGCGCGGTGTTTCATAAAATGAAAATCAATAAGACGGTCGAGTCACCCACTGGTCGATTTGAATCAGCAATTGGCACAAGCGAATTCAGTTTTAAGTTTTAAAAATGGAGGAGGATGTCAATCCAAGCTCCGGGTAAGATTTATTTTTTATTTGTCTGGATTAAAGTTGTTGAACGTACCGAAAGAAGGATTGGAACGGTTGATTTGGATCGGCCCTAATTGAATCAACCACCTAATATGGGGGTTTTAATCCCTGGCTAGCCTTCCAGGTCTAGTAACACATAACAAAAAGAAATAAATAATTAAAAATAGTGGGAATTCAAACTCTAGGAGTAGAGGCGGGAGAAGTGTCCGGTCGACTCGTGGACCCAATAGGGTTTAGGTCTAGGCCTTGATAATGAACCTAATGGGTCAGGTCTGGGTCTATTTGACTTTGACCTGACTTAGGTTAGGCTTAGGTTTGGATCCAACTTTGATCGAATCAAGTTGGGTTAGGTCGGGTCGGCCCAACCCAACCCAATATATATTAGTATAAAATAATATTCAATATCATCATCATAGCCTTTTCATCATAGCCTTTTCCCCATTAATTGGGCTGGGCTAAATATGATTTTTAAAACACTACACTAACGTTTTAACACCCAGACGATTGACTCCATTGCCTACTGGGCTAATTTGGATCAATGATTATGATTTTGATAGGCCTGAATCTCCCAAGATAAAAAACTAATACATAAGAAAACCTATGAAGGGAGTCGAGTGATTCCAAAGTTTTACACATGCAAATCATCCGTCCCCCGAAAACCAACGAGATATTATTTTAGATTAATCTATTGGGCGTGGTTTGTATAAGGTTGCAACCTTAAACAATCTAATTAAGGCTCATCTCTAAATTCTATCATAAATATAATATTGATATAAAAAATTATTAGGCTTAAAAATCTATTTTCATCTCTAATTATAAAATTTTAAACTTAAAAAATGGTTAAAATCAAGTAAATCTATAAACACATGAAATCTAGGAAATGGTCAGGCCAGATAATGTGCTGCAAGATACACTATTTTGGAGGACTCGAAATCTTTATTTATATTTTTATATTCATACATCTCGATGTTGAGATGATCAATTAGAGTGTTTTCCAACATCCAAACAACTTTTTATAATGGATTTTTTAGGTGGATCTTTAATTCTACATTTTAAGGTTGCAGCCTTATTTAAATTTTTTACTAATTTATGATAGGGGCAAATATTAAAGGAAAAAGTCCATATAAAGGCATTAACCTTATACTATTTAAGTAAAGTGTATCTCAAAATTCTCTAGAAAATAGCGTCGAGGCATTGGAAGACCCTCCAATTGATCATCTCGACCCCGAGATGTATTGATATGAAGAAAAAAAGAATTTCAAGCTATAAAGCTAGCTCATCTTGTTACAAGTTATCTAGACTATCTATTTTCAAGAATTTCAAAATTTTACAAGTCTACTCAAACTATAGTTTAAAATATTTTGAAATTTGAGAAAATTGCTTAAAACCCTTAAATATGGACTTTCTAGGCACTTTACCCCTAGTCCAATTTTTCTAACATATTTTTCCCCAAAACCAACTTTTAATACCCAAATCAAAAAGTTCACTTTTTTTTTAACGAAAATACCCCTATATAACAAATTATTTCGTTGGAGAGGGCGGTAGGGTGTTTAAAAGAGGTGGTTTGACGATTATTTTGCTGGAATGGGTGGTCCGGCGTTTCATTGTGACGGTCCGGGGATTGGAGAAATGGGCAGTCCGACATTTTGAAATTGTGGTAAGGCATTTTGAAGGGGTAGTTCGACATTTTAAAGTGGCGGTATGACATTTTGAATGGGCAATCCAGCGTTTTGAAGTGAGCTGTCCGGCGTTATACAAGTGCGGTTCGACATTTTTTTTTATTAGGATTCGAAAATGATTTGGTATGTCCGGGATTGGTATTTTCGTCAAACAAAAATGAACTTTTTGTATTGGGGGTATTAGCTTAAAAAAGTTGGTTTTAAGGAAAAATATATTAAGAAAAGTTAGGCTGGGTAAAGTGAAAGAAAGACCTATGTGATCTTTCGCTGGGGAAATACAATTTTTTTTTTTTTAATAATAATCACCCTTTATAATTTTGGCAACAAGACCACTCACAGATGGTCTTATTACAAACAGTAGAAATTCCAAAAAAAAATAACATATCAATAAAATAAATCTCAAGATGTCATTCATACAACCTAATACCGTGTTTGTGAATATAAAATAAAAGAAAAGATGCCGGAGATTACCTCAACCGGGCTTTTTACACCACACACCGAGTCACCACATCCAATGACGTGGGATATGTAGTCTAGCTTCAATCTCGAATCGGGATAGCTGATTTTGGCCAAACTATGTAACCACCCTTAAAATCTCTATTAAACCTTAACCCCCAAAATTAACTTTGGCTTCCCTCTAATTTTTAATTTTCCAACACTTAGTTTCTTTGTAGGTCTAGAGAGGAGAGAGAGTACTACCTATAGTTTTGGAGAGGGAAAATTAGGGAGAGAAATATGGAGGAGAGAGAGTGGGGCTACCCCTCTAGGAGAGAGAGAAGAAGAGAGAGAGTGGCTTATGGGAGAGAGAGTGAAAGGTTGTGTAAAAATGGGGGGAGAGCCCCCTATTTATAGTGAATATTTAGGTTTAGGATTTTCCTATAGTTTGCTTCTTTTATGAGAAGGTGTTTGAACTATTATCCTCCTATCCATAAACCATTTTTCCCATCAATATATTTAAATAAAATAAATATCATGTATTCCATAAAATTGCATGATCCATGTCACATATTCCATAAGGATATGTCAAATATTATCAAGTAAATAAATACTATCAAATATAAATAAGATAAGGTCAATATTTAATATCTATTCAAATTGACCATATCATTTTAAAGCAAACTTGCTTTAAAACAAATAAAGCCATGGTTAATATTTTCCTTTCAAGATTTGACCACATGCTACAAATCAAACTTACCTCAACTTAAAGACTTGAACATAAAGCAAACAAAGAATCCAAAAGGTGGGGCGTGCTACCATTTTGTGACACATGTGGGTCCCCACCTACATGGCACATGGTGGGTCCATGTGCACTTTGCGCCCCTATGAAATTTTATAAAAAGTTTTAAAATAAAACGAATTAATAAATATTTGAATTTTACAACTTTGTAAAATCTATAACTGCATTTTTATAAGTCCAAAAATCATAAATAAAATATTGAGAGATACATAAAAATTCAAATAATAAAACTAAAATCATTTCAATAATAAAATGAACACAATTAAATTAATATGATGAGAAAATGATTCATATGGTTTTAGGAATTCAATATGTAAATATGGGGTACTCCACCTCCAACTGTGGACTACAGACCGCACTAGCTTTATCGAATCGACCTAGTGTTTTTCATGACCCACAGTCCAAGCAAGGGCTTATTAACGGGTCACCAAAGTCAGGTTGATGAATCAACGGGTCACAATCCCAGTATGTAGATTATAGGTCCTCCTTTAGAGACTAGTCAAGGTCACTACGACCTGATGCGACCACAACTTTATGGCCTATAGGGGTATCTCTCGCACATGCATACACTTCACCCAAATGTAGATATATGGTTTTTTCGAACGATCTATCAATATACATGCCGTGTGATGGAACATGGATGAAGTTTTGGCCCCTGTCTCAGTAGGCCTCTCATTACATACAAGGGTCACACAGTCCTTTGGCTCATTCATCTAGGTATAAACTCCGACCTCGTCAAAGATTAACCCAAAACCTTACTCGGTTAATTCTTTATGCTTAGGTATTTTCGGTTTTCCAATCGACTGACATAGATCGATAAGTACAGTCCGATATAAGTAAATATCATTCGTTTAGTATGATCTTTGAGGGACCACACTCCACTAAATTTATGTTTCACTATAATAAAAATATTCATAAAGACTTTAAAAGCCACATAAACCCAACATAAATGTCCATACATTTGAGGGTTTTAAGCAATTTTCCCTTTTAATTCATAACTAACGATGATAATAGATTCATAAGGCTTGATAGACATGTACATCACGAAGCCCGCCTCACTTGGGATGGGGAGGGCACTCTATATAAACCTCACCCAATGTTAAATGCGCGAAATTTCGAAATTTGTATGGTGGATTACCCGCTATGTGATTGAAGTGGCGCCACTTATCTATTAATCATATTCCTCTTTTTTTTGGCATTCCACCAATATTTTGGGTGGACATAGCAATTCCATCAAAATTAATGGCATTATTCGCCTCTGGTTTGGGTGTAAATAGCAATTTTGCCAAAAAAATGCCAATTCACCATTTTTCTTGTGCGTCTCTTATTCTACAAATTTTAAGGGATTTGGAGACCCAAAATTTCATCTGAAACTGCCTTTCTTTGAAATGGATTGCGTCCTTTCTTCATCTCCAGTTCTTGTTTCAACACAAGGCCTGAGAAATTCTCATCTGCAATGGAGGAAGAGCTTAACTTGCTCCAGTTTTCTTACACTCAGAAGAAATGGTTCAGCTTTTCTGTCTAATAACGGTAGGAATTCAACCTACGTTAAGGCCTTAGCGGCTGAGTTCGATCCTGTTCGTTCAGAGATCACGTGGCAGATACTTACTGGCACTTTAGGTTAGATTTTTGGTTTTATTATTTCATTTTTCCTGTTGTAGTTTTTTATGCTTTCAGTTTGTTAAGGGATTTTCTGAAGCTGTTGGATTGATTTTATAATGCATTGATTCATTAGAGTTGTTCAATTTGTGGCTATAATTTGACTTGAAGAAACATCTTCAAATCGATGAAGCATTGTTTATTGAATTGGAATCATATATACAGAGTGATTTCTTTCTATGTTGCGTTTAATTTTGCTAAATTTGATAAATGTTATTAGCCAAGCTTGCTCTCATTTATTAATTTCGTTAGTCAGGGTTGAGAAATAGTTTTATGGCTGTGGAAATGATTTTAGCAAATTCTCTTGCTTTTTTAATAGTTGTTTTTATGGTGGCTTTATTCAAATAGTTCCCAATTGAGGGATATTTTCATATTAAAACAATCAAATTTCCTTCAAGCTGAATAATATCCTAATTATCTTTTCTTGACAGCATATTTTCACTTGGTCTTCTTAGTTGTGGCTGGGGTTTTGTTTTATTTTAGTATTATGATATTCCTTTATTGTTGCTGTTAACTAAATTAACTCGATCGTGCATTATTTTGGTAAATATTTCAGCTGGCGTCATCCCTTTTGTTGTTGCCGGTATTGAGTTTAGTAAGCGCATTGTAAGTTGCTCATCTCATGGTTCTTGTGGAAATATCATTATTTGGTATCGTTTTGAAAAACTTTTCTTGCTTCATTGTTTCTTTTTTACAACTTTAAATGTATATCGTTGAAGGTTTTAATTTTTTCCGGATATTGTACTCTTTTGACCAAGTATTGTGTACAAATAGTGTTGCAGTTCCATATTTTCTTTTCTCCGCACAAAGGGACGATGCTTCTTTCATATGTTATATGTTTTCAAATGTTTAGCATTCGATATTGTTCGAGTGTCCTAACATTTGTTCTTGTTTCTAGTTGCTAGTGATTCACTTTTAATATTCTAAGAGTTTTCTCCTTGTTTTCCTTTTTACTTAAGATGATAACTTAGGAGGCTAGCTACTACCATTGTCACCCCAACACTCCACTTGAGGGCTGGTGTCACGTCGATATGTCAATATACTTGGTGAACCAAGATGATCACTAAGAGGCTAGTTTTTATCAACGTTGCCCCGACACTTCGCTTGAGGGCTGGTGCCACGTGTTGACACGTCAAGACACTTGGTCACTCTGACACTCCACTTGAGGGCTAGTGCCATGTATTGACACTTCTAGACACTTGGTTTGCAAAAATAATGTAATAAAAAGCTCCTTGTAGAGCTCAAACTCAGCACCTCTCTACCACTGCACCCCAAGCTTGCCGATGCGAGAGGAATAGAACTAATGTTTTTGTATGGTAAAGTGTCCACATTCTGTGGACCCTTGAAGGGTGCACAAGTACCCTTCAACAATTTATATCGAACCATGCAGCATCTAACGGTTAAAAATAAATTTTATTTTTTAAATTTTTATCTTAAATTTTAAAATTATTTTTTGCTGAAATTTGGGATGTGTATTTTTTTACATGGCACACCAAATTAACATAAAGTAATATTTTAAATGAAATATATTGATCAAAATACCCCTAAACTTTTGGAGGTATTTTGGTCAATTATTTTATTGAAAATAATTTTTTATTATTTTTATTTCCCGTGACTTATAAAAAAGAATTCACACCTTAAATTTCAGGTTAAAATGATTTTTAAGTAAAAAATAAAAATAAAAAATTATATTTTGACTGTTAGATGTGGTGTGGTTCAATCAAAATCGTGGGAAAGGTGTCTGTGCAACTTCCCACCATCTACATCATGTGGATGGGAGAATCTCTCTTATGTTATATACCATATACGCATAATTGTATTTACATGATACATGTACATATGTGTCTTGCAGTATGATATTTTTTGTCAAAGTTCTAGACACCCTAGATATGTGTTGGGCACCAACAACCATACTGTTATCCATGTATCATTGGTTACTATAGAATTTGTTAGACTTGTTTCCATTTGGAATGAGTTGGCCAAAAGAGTTTCGATTAGAAGGAACATTGAGGCAAGTGGGGTTCTTCATTAGGGCCAAAACATGGCCCATTTTTCTAGGATTGGTTGAAACATTCTCATTCAGGCCGAATCAGGTGATGGACCATAATAGGCTGTATCCATGTTGATATATGAAATTTATATGTTTTGCTGAGCTCGATCTTCTCGAACCTTCAATTTTTTCCATGGAACTAGAAATCGCCCCTCGAATCATTTCTTTCACCAAACCGACATGCTGGCTTATGCTAATCATACAAAATTACCATAGATTAATGTGATGCTACTTCGAAAGAAAATTGTTACAAGATGACCAAATGTGCAAGCCTCTATGTTCATGATGTGTATTACCTGCATTTAAGGTAACTGATGTTCTTTTGTGCAGTATTTTTGTATCTAGATTGCCCCTGGTCTTTTTTAAGTTTACGTAAAAATGCTTCTCTCTTCTTTCCTACAAAATAATAATAGTCATCAACAGAAGCAGAGTTAGAGAGAAAGGGAGAGAAGAGAGAAGCTATATGTAAAATTATAGGAATTAAGTGGATGTTGATTGCCTGCATCGTACAATGTTACAAAGGTGATTGAGCAGCTTTAGGTGGGCATTTTAAGATATGCAATCACGCTTGAAGAGTTAGTGAATGCTTTTGGACTTGTTTACTGTTATAGGTGTGTCCATGTTCAACAAAGTCAAAGGCATAGCAAATTGCCTAACATGTTATTTCACAGCAATGCTTGGGGTCATTTGGATTATTTTTCCCCTTGTTGTGGGCATTAGGCCTGGGGCATTGTGAATATTTTTTCCATTTTAGCGAGCATTACACAGTGATGTACGGGGCTATTTGATATTTTTATTAGCACCTAATTTTTTTTTCCTTTTGCTTTGTGAAATCACCACTTATAAGTATTCAGTTATGTTTAGCTTAACTGTATATTGAAAGGTAACTAGCTTCTCGCAATTTTGTGCCTGCTATTCAACCCTTTCTTGGATTTGTTATGGATGATTGCATGTTCATATAATGATCTTGAATAGGATTCCTGGCTTGAAATTGAAGCTTCTACAAATTACATTAATTTTAACACAATTTTTGTTTTCGGTGGGGCTTGCGATCTCTTCTTGTCTGGATTTGAAATTAAAGAGCAAATTATTATGGAAGTGGTTGCCTCCAATTTGTTAGAAATGTGGTCATTTCTGGCACACAAAATTATTATACATAAAAATTGACATTTCTAGCTCAAAAAATGTGGATATTTCTGAAATATAATCTTAATCACTTCAAAAACTCTTGATGTTATAGAAGTGACCACCTACAATTTTATAGGAAATCTGATAATTGCTTAATGAAAGGATATCAAGTTTCACTTAGACTATTGATACGTATCGTATTCAGTAATTAATGCATCACATTATGTTGTACAGGTTATAGGTGTCCTAGATAAGATGCTTCTCACATTTGATATTGCCCCTTTAACTTGCAATCAAAGATATACCATATTTCATATTGTTTATATATATTATCTTATCATACGAGAATTACCACCAGAAGCAAAAATGCTCCCAGTATATTGAGGCGTCATCACTTGAGGAATCTGTGTAATCTTGCCATTGAATGGGGCAAATGGAGAGAAAGAAATAGTGGTGCTTTTTGGAGTAGAAGCATGTGTTTCTAAACTCTCTAGGAAAGAATCGGGGATACAGCCATCACTTGGCTTTGACTCTGCTTGAATTTAGGGTTTACATGGCCATGGACTTTGTAAGAGGTTAGCGGCTCCAAGTTCTCAAATCCCAAACCAGCTCTGGGGTAGTCCTCCCCTAGTTGTAGAAAGTTAAAGCTGAATTTTGGTGGTTCCACTAGGGAAACTCCGGATGGGTGAGCTGACAAATGCCAAGCTTGGGCACGTTCAAGCTCTGCTTTTGCGGGTGGAGGTCCAGCTTTAACTTGGCCTGAGCTTGACTCAAGCTTGAACTTCCCAGCTTGGTCTTTACTTCATTAAGGGAAGGTAAGTTTGAGCTTGGCTTGGTTTGCTGACTTAAACAAGCCCATAAACAAGTCAAGTCAAGCCATAAACAAGTGGGGCACGAGCCCAGCATACATGGCATTGTATGATAAAATATCCATGTTATATAATATAGTGTCTTCAATTGAGTTTCTTTTTTATTTTGAGGTCAATATAATATAATAAGATTTATTATATAATGTTTTTCATTAAACTAGCCCAAACTGAGGTCATCTTAACTTGAGCTTGGCTTGTTTAATAAACAAGCTAGCATGCTCGGTGTGGCTTGGGTTGTCAAACACAAAAATATCAGCTCAAGCTTGGTTTACCATGAGGAGTCAAACCAGCTAGCTGGCCTGGCTTGTTAACACCCATATGGTTTTGGCAGGTGTGCGGGGTATCTTTCGAGATGCCTTTGCAGGGACAATTGGGTTATCGAGTCAGAGAAGAGAGCTCTGTTGGCAGCACTTCTGTGGTCGAATTTCAGGCTCAGAAGGAGGGACTGGCCTCCTGGAGCCTACCATCTCTATTTATGGAGATTTTTTTTGACATTTCTATGGGAAGAGAGATCTCTTTTTACATGTTTCTTAGGGGGCCTATTCATGAGGTGGATATTTTTGCCAATAAAGGGTAGGAGTTGAGGCTTTGTCACAATGTAGTTTGAATGTGACACTATATTTGGGTTTCAGACATCATCTTGGCAACCTCACTACAATTTCTTACAATCTTATTCTTCTTCTTCCTCCTCTTCTACTTCTGCTACTCATGTCTGGTTTAGTGGCTGTCAACTATCTCTCCATTCTATTTGAATCAAAGTATTTCCTCTTCTTTAGGGGCTAGTTTTGTGGTCGTCAATTGTATTTGTTGGGGTTTGTTGCCTTTAAAGTCCTAGAGAGCTTGTAAATAAATATATTTATAGTGATTTGTGCAATTTAGTTGCGAGTGTACTGTGGTGACTAACCTAGTGTAGGGCGGTCTATGGCCTAAGTCGTATCCAAAACTCTTATCCAGAGGCATGTGGCACTACCATTGATGGTTTATTGTGGGTCATCCCTTGTTGAGGTCGCAAGATACTCAGGAGTTTTGTTTGTAAGCCAAGAGAGCAGTGTGGACTCTTGTGTGTGGAGGAAGGGCCTGTGAGAGTGAGGGCCAAGATTTTTAACAAAACTTCTGCACGACATGTATAAAGATGGCTTCATTCTGGGAAGCAACCCTATATAGAGGGATACATAGACATGTGCATAGAGAGAGCGTTCCCTTGCACTATAGTGATGTGCGCGATTGACTTGCTCTTAGGGGTAGAACCTATAATCTACATACTGGAACCATAGATCTGCTGTTTATTGGCTAACTTTGACGGGCCAATCATACTTGACTGTGGGTCATGGGTCTCATTGGGTTGGTATGAGAAGACAATTGGGTCATGGGTCTCATTGGGTTGTGAATCATGGATCCTAACACAGGTCGAGTGCCTTCATATTCACTTGTTAGGAACCTATTATCTTCTAAGTTATACTTCTATGTGTTTTAAATTTCTGTGGAACTCTAGCTATATTACTTTCAACTAAAATTGTGTTACTATGAATTTTGGATATTTTCAAAATTTTAAAATGTTCTTATTTGTTTAAAGAAGCCCTGTAAAGGGTATTCTGGAATTTTAAAATTATTAAGGGCTTTTTGAAAATATTTTAAAATTATTGGGACCCACGTTGGGGGGGTGGGCTAGCCCCACATGAAGCCCACATGGTGTGGGATGTGGGGCCTACATGGGCCACGCCGCCTACATGCGCGGTCTATGGCCTAAGTTGTGTGTGGAGGAAGGGCCTGTGAGAGTGAGGGGCCAAAATTTTTAACAAAACTTCCGCACGACATGTATAAAGATGGCTGCATTTTGGGAAGCAACCCTATATAGAGGGATACATAGACATGTGCATAGAGTGAGCGTTCCCTTGCACTATAGTGATATGTGCATTTGACTTGCTCTTAGGGGGAGAACGTATAATCTACATACTGGGACCATAGTTCCGTTGTTTATTGGCTAACTTTGACGGGCCAATCATGAGCCCCTGTACTTGACTGTGGGTCATGGGTCTTATTGGGTTGGTATGAGAAGACAATTGTGAATCATGGATCCTGACACAAGTCGAGTGCCTTCATATTGACTTGTTAGGAACCTATTGGCTTCTAAGTTATATTTTTATGTGTTTTAAATTTCTGTGGAACTCTAGATATATTATTTTCAACTAAAATTGTGTTACGATGAATTTTGGATATTTTCAAAATTTTAAAATGTTTTTATTTGCTTAAAGAAGCCCTATAAAGGGTATTTCTGGAATTTTAAAATTATTAAGGGCTTTTTAAATTGTTGGGACCCACATTGGGCGGGGTGGGGGTGGCCTAGCCCCACATGAAGCCCACATGGTGTGGGATGTGGGGCCCACGTGGGCCATGCCGCCTGCATAGTGGGACGCCCAAGGTTTCCCATTTCTATGGAGACCTTAGGGTGCCTAATTTTCAAAAGACAAAATGCATTAGTTTAAAATATTTTTTAAAATATTTCGTGAGAGATTTAAGTGGATCTAGATTTTGATCATTATTTTATTTCCTGATTATCCCTATGTGAGAGAATAGAAAATCTGGAATATTTTGGATTCCTCTAGAATGTTCTAGAAGATAGATTATACTGAGACAAAATGTAGAAGTGGATATAGGTCAAATCTCAAGGGATAAGGTTCCTAAATATTCACTCTAGATCATGATGGCTAATCTTGGAGATAAATGGTTCATATTAATCTTGTCTCTCACCTCACAAATTACCTAATAATCTTAAATAATGCTGAACTCCTAATCTGACTGGGACTCCCTAAGGCTTACAGGCCTAATCTAACCTCTCTCATCTCTCTCTCTTCTTTCTAGTAGTGGGTATGCCAGCCCCATAAATGATGGAGTGGCATGCACCTCAAATGAGAGTCAAGGATGGGAGCACACAGAGCCCTCTTTTTTAATAAATTAGGGAGGTGCCACTTATGGAATGCCCCTAGGTTCTTAGCGAAACCGTAATTGTCACTTATGGAATGCCCTTAGGGTCTTAGCGAAACTGCAATTGTTTTTCAGGGATCAAGTGCGTCATTAGACAGGTGATTAGATGTGGGGTGTGATAAGCTCCAAGGGGGTAACCGTAGTCTAAAGTCAGTAAATCTTCCTATATTTATTTAAGTTTTATTTACTGTTGTTCATGTTTATTTATTTCCTAAATTGTTATGTTTGTATTCAGTTTGAATATAGTTTATTTTGGTAGTAAGTTATTAAGATCCTAGATTGTAGTAGGTCTATTTTATTGTATTTGTGGCACTTGTAAGTAGACATTTCAGCAATTAACAGAAGAAAAGAAATAAATTTTTGAATTTACAGCCTGGAATTCTACATTGCCACTTCTTTAAGTACTTTCCTTCTATTTTAATAAAATTTCAGTTATCCATCAAAGAAAAATATTGTTGTATCATTACTTATTGGGAAAAGTTTATATAAGGTTGCAACCTTAAAATGTAGAATCACAGATGCACCTCAAAAATTCATCGAAAATGTTGTTTTAATGTTGAAAAAGCCCTCTAATCAATCATCTCAACATCGAGATCTATGAATATGAAAAAAAAAAAGATTTTGAATCTCAGAAATAATGCATTTTGCAACACATTATCTAGACTGTCCATTTTCAAGATTTTCATATATTTATAGATCTACCTGATTTTAACCATTTTTGGAATTTAAAATTTTCTAATTAGGGTATGAAAATAGATTTTTAAGATAATACTAAGAATTTTTTACAACAAAATTACATGTTATGATAAAATTTTAAAGTGCACTTTAATTGGATTGTTTGAGGTTGCAACCTTTTAGAAACCGCACCCTTACTTATTTAGATACTCATTGTACCTTCAGATATGCTGACTAGCATGTTTAATAATACATTATATTCCATAATTCAGGCCATGGTTTTGATTTTATGCTTGATATAGAGATTCCTCTCAAGATCTACTTTCACTTTTCTCCCAGCTTTACTTTCATATTTTATCCTTTGAACTCCATCTGACTCTACAAAATGTCTGAAGTTCCATCAGATGTACTTTACCTATACCATCCTTTTTGGGGTGAGGTTTGTATAAACTGTCAGCCTTATACTATTGAACTATGACACACCTCAAAACTATTCCGAAAGATGTAGTTTTGGTGCTGAAAAACCTTTCAATGGCATGAAAATCTATTGCCATCCCTAATTATGACATTTGTGACGATTACATAAATCTATAAACACTTAAAAATCTTGAAAATGGATTGTTCAAATAATGTGTTAATTATGAGCTTTTTTTAGTGTTAATTATGAGCTTTTTTTAAGACTTGAAATCCTTTTCACATCCATGAATCTCGAGATTGTGATGAGTGATTGAAAGGTTTCCTAGCATCAAAACAATCTTCTCCATTGGATTTTTAAGTGCACCTTACTTTTACAGTATAAGGTTGGCACCTTATATGAACTGTTTCCCTCTTTTAATGTTTGGGCCTGGAGTTCAAAGCAACACAGTGCCTAATTTCCTCAAGAACTTCTAAACATGCTTAGCTGACCTCCTACCAATTGGTATGTTTTGTGGTCTTTCCTAGGCACTCCAAACACTCAACATTTAGCAAACTCCTTCCTTCCTCTTAGTCTTGCGCCATGCAGGTAATTGTCAGTTGGTTGAGCTCTAGATCAATCACGCCATTCTATGTTGTGGTAAACTTATTACGGAAAGACAAAATTGCATATTTCAACATATCCATATCTGAACCAAATAAGCTCATAACAGTTTAGCATTCTTTTCTTTATTAAATTTTTTGATTATCTTCTGTTGAACTGGCCTTCCAAACTTGGTGGCAGGTAGAACCTTTTTTTTATTTTTTATTTCATTTTGTATAACAAACTTCCTATTAGGGTCGACAAATGTTTTCTATTCTACATGTTCCGCCTTTCTCACCTAATTTTATCACAATTTTTGCGTTGATTTCTTGTCAAATGGTGGATAAGAATTAGCGGCATTTCTTGAACATTTTATATGTTGCATGAAGGTTTGACTATTGTAACGTGCCTTGTTTAATTTCTATTTCTTGAGTTTGCCTGATCAGATGATAGGTCCTTTAACATGGATTTTTTTCTTCTTTAAATATTTTTTTATCTTGTGAACTCCAGATTGCCCAAAAGAGGTGCGATGTCTGTGGAGGCTCAGGACTTGTTTTAAGAGATAAAGATTACTCTCGCTGCCCTGGTTGTGGTAAGTCGGTTTTACAAACTAAGATCATAAATGTCCTCTCATAAGCCTACATTTTGGAACAATTTTCTTTACAAGGTCTCTTTTTATACCCATTTATCGAACGGTTTGGTTTATTGTATGGGGCCATCACTATCATATCATTCGTTTAAATGGTGATGGTTGGGGAATGTGTCACACCAAGTGTTATTTATTCGAAGTGTACGGATTACTCTACCATTATCACCATCCAACCCATTGACGGGACTGTCATAACCCTATGACCATACCATTCCCCTAGACATACTTTTTAGAGCATAGGGACCCTTACTATTTTATAAATTTTTTCTGATTTACCCCTTTCCTGGCCTTTTTTCAGTGTCCTTTTTCCAGTTGGGTTCTAGACTTTCTCTGCTATTCCTATGGTTGATTGTTGCTTGCAGGTGGATTTTTTCCTTGGCAATCATGGAAAAGGTTTTTTTCGGGTTAAATTATGCTATTTATAGTTAATTTTGAGGTGATTCACTGTCCATAAAATTCAAAGGTCATGATTACTGAGTTGTTCTTTGAAATATACATATTCGATGGACAATGTCTTTGTAGGAGTATGAGAAATATTCGTCTGCTCATACCTTGTTGTATGTTTACTTATATCTCATTGTATGAATACTTATAAATATATTTTGTAAATAAAGTTGTGTCATTGCATTATGTTCACCCTTCTGTATTAAATGAAGGGCCTTTTCCTGCATATTGTATGCATACAGACTCAGTGTTATCTAAACTGGATCTGACAGTGTACTAGAAAGGTTATTGTGCTTCAGTCTTCCGTGGTCCACCAATCCGAAGAAGCAATCCCTGTTGTCTATATGATTCTGTTATAAATTAATATTTTCTTTCATCTTTGCCAGTATTGTATACAATGCTGTTTACACTGATGAGTGTATTACTGAAGATGATGACTTTTATAATTCAATTCGCTGAATCTACTCAATTTTCTTTTCTGCATTTTACTATGAAGTTGAGGGTCACAAAAATCACTGCCTTTAGTAATGTTCTATAATGACCAACTTGTAACAAGTGTATGATGTGTTTATTGCTCTTAAGATATTGGCACATGTGACTGTTCCTGCTAGGTCCATTGGAAGTGCATGACGCAAGTTTCCCCTAGAAATGACCCATTGTCATTTTTATGCCCAATAGTTTTATTTAGTTATTTTAGGAAAACGAAAATAATGTCAGATTTTGTGTCGACTTTCCTAGAAATGATTTGTTTTTCAAGCTGTTTACATAAAAATTTACTTGAACACGTCTTGCTTGGATTTGAGGACTGTTTCTTCCAAAATTTGACGAGTGTTCCTTTGACATGCATAGGGAGCACAGTTGTCATTTGTACACGATTGAAGATGCATAAAATGAAGGACAGAAGGTGATTTTGCAGTTGTAGCATAATAGTTGTTTTAACCAGTGTAGGAAAAATCAAATCGAAATAGTTAAATGGACATGGTCTCGGAAGTGGTTCGATAGGCCTAACAGGTAAATCGGCTAGTTTAGCCGTTCTAACTGGGGTAAAAAAAGTATTAAAAAAAAATAAAAAAAAACCAAAAAATCTAATAAAATATGAAAAGTCTATTTAAAAAATGATTAAACAAAGTACATCCAAATGAAGTTGAAAATTAATGAAAAAATGGATTGATTTTAAAGAATCGATTTATGTTTAGGGGTATTTTTAAAATTTTCCAAAAAAACATGGGAAAATATAAAAATAATTATTAATGGTGAAAACAATTTCCAATCTTAGCAATAATGTTGAAAAACATTAAAAAATTCATTACAAACAAAATCATTTATTTTTTGGGATTTTATATAATTTTATTTTTTTAAAAAAATATCCGGCCGATCGCCAAAACGAGTCGAAACCGAAACCGACCGATCTAACTGGGTGGTTACAGTAATTTTCCTTCAATGGTCTCAACCTTCGTATTTGGGTGCATGATTGCTTGCTATTTCGGCGTTTTTCAAGTGGTTTTTGTTAAGTGGGCCAACTTAGCCTTTGATGAGCCATGCAGCTGTGGAGTTAGTGCAATTTGTCAGGTAGTACTATGACAAGGGTTTAAGGGTTTATATATAAAGGCCATTTACCTTTAGTATAGAGAGGTTACAATAGCTTACATCCATCAAATGTGAAATTTGATAGTTTAAGTGAGTCGTAAAGTTTAAAAAACTTTCTTTTGAACCTCGATGTTGGCCAGTGAAATAAATACAATCATCCAATTTCATATCTAATGGTCAAAATTAATTGTGACCACCTTGTAAGAAAGATAAATGGTTTCATTATATATTTTCCCTTATGGTAAACTGATTTTTTGGACTAAACAAATTGTTCTTTTACAAGATACAAGAATACATGGTCCAATAAATAATTTGCAGTAACGTTGTCATATCTTTCAAGATGCAATTGGTCATTCCAGAAGAAGAAGAAAATTTGGATTTTCAATTATTTTTTAATACATCATTGTTGTGGTGAGAATGAAAAGAATCACAGATTTCTGAAACTAAATCTATCCATCACAATGAAGAAAAGGTGAGGACAAACTACATCTCCTCGACCAAGCTTTGCTGCTTTGGTTTAGGGATTTTTGAATGTTGAATATTTAAATAGTAGATTTGAATATTCCAAATATTTTAAATTAGATTTGGAGATTAGATCAAATTAGTTAGTTTCTCATTTAAATAAGCTTTAATCCATTTGAAATGGTATGAGTTGGAACAGGATTTAGCGGAAGTTTATAAGAAGGTGTTTAATGTATGTATATTGGAGATTAAATAATGAAAGGTTAGAGAGAGAACCATTTTCTTAAATCTCCTTGTTTGCACAAGGAGGAATATCCCCCTCAAAGAGGATCAAAAGGAAGGCTGCTAAATATTGTGTACGGTCTTTCCTATAGCCGCCACGGCCGAGGAGAGGACTGGGCCGGGCCGGAGCCATGGTCGAGACATAGCTAGCCCAACCACTTTTTCCTTATATATTTTTACTTTAGTTGGCTTGGTCAGGCCTAGCTTGGGCCAAGGCCTCTTTAGCCTGGTCCAGGCTCGGGCCGGCCATATAGGGACTAGGGAAAGAGGTGACCTGTCCAGGCCCGGGCTAGTTGCCAACCCAACTCCTTTTCTCTTTATATTTCGGAGTAGGCATGTGGGTTTTGCCAAGAGCATAGGGTCGTGGTCCTTGCCCACTCCAGAATTCCTACCCAAATCTTTAACGGATGCTTTTTTTATTCCTTTTGTGCAAAGATGATACAAGTGGGACAGGTCTTTTATGTAACCTCAAGAACAATTTAATGTTTTAAAAATTAATTAGTGGTTTTTTATATTGAGCAATTTGAAGTGAGTGATCAAGAACTTGGGATTGAAGAATAAGGAGAAAGTGTTTGCAATATATTTCTAGATGACTTTATTGTTGTTAGCTCCCAAATCTAAAGGTTTTTGTTTCTTATTTAATGTCATCTTTTTCAAGGTTTCAGGTGCGTTTCTCTGTCTTCTTTGCTTATACTATCTTTTATTTTCCTAGTTTCTTAGTTGTAAATCTTGTTTCATTTTATATCAGGGCGTGATATTTGTGTTGGAGCCTTTAGTTTCTGGCTTCTTATTGCTATTTTATTTTACTCGTCTATCTCTTAGTTTTCTTTTACATTTTTGTGTTTTTTTTCTTCCTTTTTTTAGATTTTTCTTGCGTTTTTCTTCATCTTTTCACTTTTCATTTGTTGCCTATCATTTTATGCTTTAGCAAATCTATCAAATCATTTTATTCTTTAGCAGCAAATCTATAAAAATGTGTTTTTTAATCTATAAAAATGTGTTTTTTTTTTTCCTTTCTTTAGATTTTTCTTTCGTTTGTTTCATCTTTTCAGTCACCGTTCACATTTAGTGCCTCTTCTCTCGACCTATCATTTTCTTCTTTAGCAGCAAATCTATCAAATCATTTTATTCTTAAGCAGCAAATCTATCAAAATCTCTCTCTCTCTCTCTTATGGTTTTCATTTTCTTTTGTTTCTCTAGATGTCAAATTTACTCTACCAAGTTTCGTTTTCATGATCATTTGTGTTTGTCCTCTTTTTCTGCTTTACTTGCTTTTGTGCTGAGTTTTCTTTCCGTGTCTCCCCAATATGCTACTCAGACTGTCCACTACTTTTAAATCAGAAAGTTCTCAATCACCTCCTAGAGTCCTAAGATAAATGAAGAAGTCTCTATCAAATACAAGGGAAAGAGTGATGAAGCAGTAATAAGGATCATGAAAAAACCTGGCAGATCTAGAGTTATTAAAGTTCATAAACAACTCCAATTTATAGCTTACACCATATCAGTGGAACAAATTTTTTCTATTTTTATACATGGTGGATCTCCCTACTTCCTAAGATTCCAACTTCCATCTTGAGCTAAATGACTGCAATTAAAAGCAAGTTCGGATTCAATGCCCAGCTAGCCACTACTTGATCACTGAATATTCACGACAACAAAAAGAAATTACAGTATTGTCCTGTCCCCCATGTTATACGAGTAGAATCTACTGAAAACCAGGACCCTCACTCTCTGTTCTTGTTCTCAAAGCGATCACATAAAGTAGAATCTCTTTCTCTAGTTAGTTTCTTAGCACAAACCCGGATCATCTCCATGCACAAGATGCAACCAGCACCCTGTTCTTCCATCCGAGATAAAGCACCCCATCTTTCTCTTCCAGCCGATAATTCTCACAGTAACCCTCCAGGAGAGACTTAATGGTAGAATTCACGGAAGAGCTCAAAGGGTAAGGGCTAAACCCTGCCATCATAAACCTCAACTTCCACTTACCCAATAGCTCGTGCCTCTCCACCCTTTCCTGCCCTTCACAAGCTATCACGTTCACAATATCACGGGCCAAGCAATGTTGCTCGACACTTATACGCTCCTTACTGTCTCTAGGCAAAGTCACATCTATCGATTCAAACACAGCAGAATAGTAGCTTAACACCTCGACAAATCTATGCAAAAAGGGGGCAGTATTAGTATTGGATTCTTGCTCTACTAGAGTGACCACCTTGGGATTTAAGCTCTTAATCATTCGTAGAAGCCTATCTCGATGATTAACTGTGCTCACACTCTCATCAGGCATATGGTGTAGTTGAAATGGAAAGTTAACTGCTAAAGCGTCATTGGGCCTCACTTTGAGCATACCCACCTCGACCTGGGAGCCACAAATTGCTGCTGCATTGAACTCAAATGGTACATTGCAAAGCTTAGCCAACTTAGCCAACCTTTGGCCCACAAGCTCGAGACCACAGCCTCGGGCATAGGCCGAGACCGGGTCATCAACCCCAGTGATTCTCAGATATGGGGGACCCCCTGGTCGAGCCGCCAGTGCTTGAATTAGGGTCACCCATTGGGTCCCTTGGGCTATTTGGAAATCTATTATGTGGACTCGATCCTCGCCCTTTAAGGCCTCAGCAATAGCCCCATTAGCTGAAAGATAACCAAACTTGAAGTAAGGGCATACTTCGTACAATACATGCATGTAAGAGAGTAGGTCTGAGGCCAATGGTTGTTTGCACCTAAGGGACTTATATATTGCACTCCCTGAGGATGCAATCCTAGCCACAAGGCCTTCCACCATGTAAGCTCCTAGCCTTTGGATTGGTTCCCCAGACACTGAGACCATTTGCCTCAACTCGGTGATTAACCAATCGGCCATTGGCATATCGTTATCTGATATTGCTTTTGCACAAGCCACTAGTGCTTTTCTTATCCCACCCCTGAGGATATCCACCATTTGTGGCCATTTATCAGGCTCTAGAGAAACTTGGTTTTGGACTGATGCTTCGAAACTGTCTCCACCATCAGAGTTGGGGCCAAGCATAGCAGTCTCCAATTCTCTTAGCTTGTTTTTGAAGTCGTTTGGTTCTTCAGTTATGCAAGAACCACTTCGAGGGGAGCCATAAAAATGTTCCGGGGAATGTGGTAATTCCAGGGGGTAAGTTTGGGAATCTTGCTGTGACAAGGGGCTCTCGTTAGGTGAGAAACTGAGGGTAGAGGGAGAGCTGTAGAGGGAGTGTCCCAAGTTCTGTGGAGATGATTCAAGTGTGGCGTAAGAAGGGCCTTGAGAAGATTGTGTAGAGAGGTTGATTTTTCCTTGACATCCTTCTGAGAAGAGGTAGTCTAGAGGTTGATAAGATTCTCTCCCTTGGTTTTGCCCATTTATCATGGAAGATTGTACCATTTGATGATTTTCAGGGTCTCTTGGAGTGCTTAGAAAATACTGCAAGTTCTTCCTAGATGATATGTGCTCTGATCTGAACTGAGAATCCATGTTTGAACTGTGTTTCACTAAGCTTCAACAGATAGAACTTTAGAGCTTTCAGTGTTACCACTTTGTTTCCAATTCTATCGCCATAATTGGGTACTCCTTTTTTCAAACTTTAAAGAAGAGGTCCTTCCTTTTGTCAGTCTCCTTTCACTTTTCTAAAAGTCATCTTTTCCAAGGACAAGAATGGTCTCATGGGGGGATACAATTCTGCCAAAGATTGTAAACTGCAACTCAGCTCCATCCTACCCATTGATGGAGTGCACAGAGAAAACAAGTATCAACTATAAGATGAATAAATAGAGAAAGCATAACGGGAACCAATATTAGCAATAACATGACGACAACAGAAAGAAAGCATTAGAAGACACCATTACTAACAATAAGATGGAAATAATGGAGGGAAAGAAATATAGGCATTGGATAATCTCCTCATCATTGATGAGAGACATTCTGATTGGAGATCACTTGTGACAGATTAGTTGGAAAATAGGAAACAAATATGGAAAAAGTTTATATAAGGTTGCATCCTTAAAATGTAGAATTACAGATGCACCTCAAAATTCCATCAGAAAAGGTTGTTTTAATGTTAAAAACCTCTAATTGGTCATCTCAACATCACGATGTATGAATACAGAAAAAAAAGAATTTGAGTCCCAAAAATAGTGCATCTTACAATACATTATCTAGACCGTCCATTTTCAAGATTTTCATATGTTTATAGATCTACTTGATTTTAACCATTTTTGGAGTTTTAAATTTTATAATTAGATATAAAAAATAGATTTTGAGATAATCCTAATAATTTTTTTCACCAAAATTACATGTTATGATACAATTTGGAGGTGCGCCTTAATTGGATTCTTGAAGGTTGCAACCTTATAGAAACCACACCCAACAAATATTTAGCACTTTGGAAGGGGTATGACTCTTATTTTAAATCAGTAAGATGGATGGATGGCCCGTATCCGGACATCCGAAGCAATTTGCTAAAGACCATATTTCTTTTCTTGTAGCAATAGAGCTGATCTACAATAGTATATCTACCACTCAGCTTATTGGGATTGAATTTAAATTCATTGGTCAGTGGCTGCTTTAAATTCTGCAGTTGTTAAATGTTACAGCTCGTATTGCTCATATACCCTGAATCCTTATCCATTCACTTCAAGCTTTAAATTTCAAACAAAAACGGTCAAGAAGTTTATCTATTAATGAAAAGTTGAATTAAATAACCAACAAAAGAAATGAAGAACCCCAAAAGACAGAGATCTCTAGGCCTTGGCAGAGTACTACAAGGAAGAGAGTCATATAAAAGTACGATTCATGAATCCGAAAATTGAAGGACCCAAAAAATCAGAGATCCCTTGGCCATGGCAGAGTACAAAGAGGAAGAAAGTCAAATAAAAGTATGGCGCATGGAACCTTTGATTTAGATTCGAAGGTGAAACTTTTTAGTGCACAGAAACAAAGACAGTTTTTGGAAGGGAGATCAGAACCAGCTGCAAAGTAAAGGAGCCCTTCACCAGAGGCCCAGGAAAAGTGAACAAACCAATCCAGAAAACCCTTATTTGTTGTTTGGGTAAGTAAAAACGAATAATTTATTTAATAGATATGCATATTGGCCCTGAAACCCAAATCTCTCCCTATTCAGAGAATCCACCAATGATAACCAAGAATTGTTAGGCATCCAGCTCTGTCTGAGAGAGAGAGAGAGAGAGAGAGAGAGAGAGAGAGAGAGAGAGAGAGAGAGAGAGAGAGAGAGAGAAGAAGAAGAACGAACGAACGTAACGTAACGTAACGTAACGTAACGTAACGTAACGTAACGTAACGTAACGTAACGTAACGTAACGTAACGTAACGTAACGTAACGTAACTAACGTAACTA